TCAAATTACTTTGTAAATATTTTTTATATTCAGTTTGCATCTAGCCTTAAATCTTATTAGTTTAGCATAATGAACGTTGATATTTCAAAAAAAAAATTGTACTCATGTAAATTTGATAGTCTTTTCGAAAATTTCTATTCACTTAACATTTTTTTAAGTTTAGCTTATCACACACGTAAGTGAAAAAATATTTATCGCTTTTTCAAATGCGATATAGTTGTAAAAAAACGAAACCCCCCGAAAGAATCGACTAAAACCGAAATCAAAAAAATTGACTTTATATAGTTTGATTTGATTTTAAAATTTGATAAACCGACATAATTGATTTAAATTTTTAAATAAAAAATCAAACCGCATCGACCTATATACAACCCTAGTTAATACTGTGAGATTTCGTTTTCGCTTATACTTACATCACATAATCATTGGACCCATGGTTTATGTCTTTGAGATATTGTGTTTGCGTTTGTTCAAACATAGAAAATACGAGTAAAAATTTAAATATGTATTCCTAAAATTGAAATATTAATTTATTTTTTAAATATTTAATTTATTTTTAAATAATTAAATTAATTTCCAAAAATAAATTTGACAAATATTTTTTAGATAGAGTAATGAATACTTGTACATACGAAAAATATAATGATAATTCATATTTGCTACCATCTATACGGCCGTTTGGATAAATGCTCTGGATCGATTCTCAAAATTATAATTTTTACCATCATATATGAAAAAGACATAAATATTTGATTTTTTTTCTTTTAACTTTATTGACGGTTAAAATTATTGACGATTTAGTTTAAAAAGTAAAATATAATGATAGATTTGTTGGTTAAGGATGACAAAGAAGAAATTGACATTAATGATGGTGTTGGTGATATCTAATAGTGGGTTCGTACATTTTGACGATGATGAGTTGATTGTGGATTTTGTATTTTGTGGTGGTTCTTTATATTTTATCGTGAGAATGATTGTGACAATGTAATTCTAATGATCGATTTAATTATAGATGGTGAAATTTGTCGTCTATTTTGTTTTTTTGATGGTTAAATATATGGATTTAATACTAATATAAGGGCAATAATAATCATTATATTTTGGTGTTCAATGAAGAAGCAGTTAGATCACTACATATATTTAGTAGATTCAATTGAATTCAAACTTTTTAAAGTTTAAACACAAAATACAAAAATACACTTGGAAGGATAAAAGGTCACATTAACTATTATCTTTGAATCTATGATTTTAAAAATGGCTAAATGTTTTGAAATTAACTATATATTTGGCAGATTAGAAACTTTAATTGAGATTTGTATAATTTAAAACACATGTATTAGTGCTTGACCGTGTTATTTTGACACTTCTGCTGACTTAGCTATATATGTAAAGAGTATATGATAGACCAGGTTATTTGAATTCGAAATAATGATATCAAAATTGACACAATCGAATTTTACTATAGGTGTTTAAATAATAGAAATCTTAATTAAAATGAATGAGTATAATAATTCTAAACAAATAATTTTAAAGGCGTGTGGTTAAAAAAATGAATGAGTATAATAGTTTTAAACATATATAATATTTTAAGACAATATTATCATAATCGGACTTATTTATTCATTCAGCTTTAGTGATTTCAACTTCAAACATTTATATATTTAATAAAGTTTCACTAAATAAATACAAATAATAGATTTTCTATAATCAGATGAGGAAAATTTAGATATTTGTACAAAAATAGTTGTTAACCATTTAAGTGTTATTAATTAATGTGTACCTTTTAGGCTGTAGCGTTCAAACACCGTTCTTAACATTTATAGTACATATATGTTGAATGCTATCAATAAATTTATTATCAATAGACAATTGGAAAGAAAGAACCAATATTTAATAAAAATAAATGATCAACTTTGATTATTTTTTTTAAAAAAAATGTTTAAATAGATCTAGAAATTAACATAAACTTATAGATAATTTATATATAGTCTAAAATCTTTTAGGCTAAAAAAATAATAATTTATAGATAATCATTTTCTGCATCTCTTTTATTTGATTGTAGATTTTCCATAAAGTAATAAATTAATTAGTCCCTACAAAAGACTCATTTTTTCAAGATTCATGAGTTGGTGGTCAATCTATTTCGAAATAAGTACTATGCTTTATTTTGGTTAATTTACTCCTTGATTAAAAATGACAAGTGAAAATCAAGGGAAAAAAATAAAATAAGTAGAGACAAATTGATGCATGGTATAACTGTTTGCAATAAATTTTAAATATGTGAAAAATAAATTAATCATGAATGAAATTTGAAAAATTAAAAATATTATTGATAAAAATAATATAAGAATAATTTTATTTTTTTTCTTGATTCTTTTCTTCTTAAGATTTTTTCATGATTCAAGAATCGTTAGTAACGTATTTTTCGAATTAGAAATTATTTGATAATAGGGTGTGCATTCGATTTTTCAATTTGATTTTATACTATTTGGTTTGGATTTTTGGTTTTTGATTTTGATGATGTGTAATCTGATCCGAACTTTGGTTTGGGTTATTTCAGTTTAGTTAATCGGTTATGTCAATAATTAGAAACATAATAAAGTTATATTCACACGCACACACACATTGAATTTATTAAATGCACTTTTAAATATAAATCACAAGTAAAATGTAAAACACAATACTTAAAAGTATATCGATATCCGAACATAAGAAAATAAACTAAATCATAATGAATATAACTAAAAAGAGACAAAACTAGTTAACTCCGATTTATTTCTATATATACATGTAATTCAATTTTTTTTTATTTTTCGATTTTTTATTTTCTAAATCTGAAACCAAATGAAGAATCCAAAACACCAATCCACTAGAATTTGGTTTGGTGTGATTTGGTTCACACCCCTTTTTGATAGTCAAGAAGAGTGCATGTTTTGATCACTTTTTATGAATACTCAAATGGAATATTTGAGGTATTTTTTTCAAGAAAATAACATAACTTTTTATATAGATATAAATTAGGGTTTTAGCTAGAGCAACCTCCAAAAAATTCCTACTGAACTCTAGTATAGGGTCCCATAAAATTTCACTCTCTACAAATGAACCCTACAAAAAGTTTTTTGGAGTGTAGACCCAATGAAATTAAATAACGAGACATAAAGTACTCATAAATATGGAGCTTCCATCTTTGTGATTTTGTGGCTTCAAGTTTGTTGATTTGATTTGTGAGAGAAGAGTTGCACGACAAATTTGTCTCACGGGGAGTTGGGAGAATTTGATGCAACAAATTTTAAATATATGAAAAATGAATTAACCATAAATACAATTTGAAGAAATAACAATATCATTTTTTAAAAAAATAAATAAATAGGGGGAGCGGATTACAATATGAAGGAACAAAAATATTATATCTATTTGTTTCCTTGATTCTTTTTTCTTAATTTTCTTAGTAACTCGACGGTCGATAGTAGAAATATAGGATGATTGATTAAATAAAATAAAATCTGAAAAAATAAGAACACTATTGATAAAATAATATGAGTATAATTTTGTTTCTTCCTTAATTGTTGTCTCTCGAATTAAGATGATACGGAATCTACAAATACGCTTCCAAAACTCTAATTAAAATAGAATTCGTTTTGTAGAGTCCTACAAAATTTCAACCACTTTTTCAATGTTTTATATATTGTTTTTTCTATTAACTAGGAGTAATATTCCATGGCAAAAATATATTTTTTCTATTAAGTATAAGTCGTCGCCATTAGATTGTGAGCATAATGGGAAAATGATTTAGCTTGACCCCTACCATGTTAATTTATATATATTTAATAAATTAGATGAAATGCACATAATTATTTTTAATTAAAGATTAATCTATATTCAATAATCTTACTATATATTAAGAAATTTACTAAATAATAAGAAATTATGGATTTCAAACTTGCTAAATTATGTAATCCGATACATGCAAAATTGAACAATATTATTGTATTTTACTGATGTATATTATTTTATTAATTAGATAACTACAGCCATTCTAACCAACAAAAAGGAAAAAATTTGTTGTATCAGTTAATTTAATTTGAATTAATAATTTATAAATTATTTATTCAAATTAAATATTATATATGATCACGGTTTGATTTAGTTGTAACACACACCTTTCTCCCTAAAATTCTTCCTTGCTATTCTCATTTCTCGTTGGTCCTCGCCTCTGTCATTTTTATACAAAACACAAATATATAAAACGTGTTTGTCTTTGTATTAAGTAAGAGAAAATTTTACATATAATTATGTATATATTTTTTCGTTCGCCTCTCTCCCCAAGAGAATCTCGCGTTCGCCACTCTCTCAGATCTCACTGGCCAGAGCCTCTCTCACTTAATACAAACACATATGTATATAAATTGTTGTATAAAGCGATAGTAAATTGTATATACAAATACATGTATTTTCATCCTATATATGTATACTTAATAGTATCTTTCCCTATCCAATTTTCTTTTGTCTTTCTCTTTTATTCGCTTTATATCTGCACAAATTATACAATTAATTCTTTTATTATGTATACTGAAACAGATTATACAATTAATTTTTCTTATATATATCGTAATATATATATTAATAACCATAAAAATATAAAATTTATCATAAAACACAATTAAATATAGCTATAACATATAAATATAACTTTAAAATTTACTTTTAGAAAAAGCCTGTAAGCCTTTGGATTTTAATACCCCACAGTCTGGCACCGAGATCGATTGTCAAGTTTTATATCATATAAATTTTAAAAGTTTTATGGCAATACAAATATTGTTTCTTATTACATGTCACAAATTTTATCGTTACTTATATTACATGTCACAAATTTCAAAAGTTTTATATTAGTACAAATATTACTATAACATGTTATATATCTAAATTTCAAAAAAAAAATTCTTTTTTTGTTGAAATTTTATATTGAGTTAAATTATGTCGGATAATTAATTAATCTTAACAAAAGTAGTAAGTTACTAGCTAATTCGATATTGTATTTTAAGTGGTTCACAAATAGTTGTTTTATATAAGTAATCTGATGTTTTAAATTGTTAACTTATACTAAAGATCATTAAATAGACCACTTCCTATATTGGTCCATTAGACCTTCCCAAAACCCTAATATAAACAAAAATATTCTTCAATACCTCCAAATACCACTTATAACTTTAGAAAACACAACACACTCACACACACACAAAATCAAAATTAAATCCATGGAGAAGATTGGAAGAGAAGCTGTTGATTACATGAATATGAAGTCTTTCTCTCAACCCCTTAGAAAAAAATCCATTAGACTTTTTGGTAAAGAATTTAGTGTTGGTGATAGTACTAACATGTCTGAATCAACTGATAAAAATCCTTTGCATCATGAACCTAAACCAAATACGATGAGTATCTCCGCGAATCGTATCGATAAAACAGGTCATGTTGATGAAATCAGCAGGAAATATGAATGTTACTATTGTTTTAGGAGCTTTCCAACTTCTCAAGCTTTAGGAGGCCATCAAAATGCACACAAGAAAGAAAGACAAAATGCCAAACTATCTCATCTTCAGTCTTCAATAGTGCATGGTAAAATAAAGATTTTTTTTTTTTAATTATATAGTTTATTTTTTGATAATATGACGGATTAAAATGTTTTTCAAATAATAAGTCATTATTTTCTAGGCTTTTTCTACCTAGCTCCTTGAGTTGAGGGTTTAACAGAAACAACTAAGCTCTCTACATACGTATGTAGTGATAATATTTGCGTACATTTTAGATCATGGGATTATGTGACTATGTATATATGTTGTTGGTATTACCAAAGCACACACACATACATAGTGCTCGATCATCATTATCATCATCATTCAACATATGATCATTATACTGTTACTTTAAATACAACGTTTGTTCATTATACTGTTACTTTAAATACAACGTTTGTTTTGATTGACAGAGACGAACCGTAATAGATTTGGTGAACCATCCACTGCAGCTACAAGATTAACTCATTATCATTCAACATGGAGCAACATTAACAATAATAATGTTTATAGTCCTAATTACAATGAAGCATTTTGGCAAATTCCTCCAACAATTCATCATTATCAGAATAATATTAATCCTCCATCTTCTTTTTCTCATGACTCATTTTTTCCTAATGATGAAGAGAAGAGGGAAGTACAAAATCATGTGAGTTTAGATTTGCACTTATAAGGATCATAGTTATAATTAATTAATTAATTAATTTGATTTGCTTTTGAAGAATGATTGAATGTAGTTATACATAAAATCATTCATCATATATTATGGTGCACATAATTCATTTGTGTAATTGAATTTCATCACTTAGTGTGAGTTTTTATATATTGCTAATTATTTCCCTTATATATCTATATGGTTACATATATAATCTTTTAAATGATTTAATTAAATGTAATTTATGTACGTTGAGTAGCTATCAGCGTATAGAAGTTGAACTCTTGTGATTTTTGTTTTTGATTATATTTTATGTATTTTAAGAAATGCAATTAGGAGGATTGTTTTAAATATATAAATTAATCTCATTTGTTTTTCTGTCTGCTCTATTTTCTAATGGTTATTAATCAAGGTCAAACACGATTATATTTAAGAGGGATTAGTATGTAGACATGCTCCTTAAGGCTGTCAATGGTATCCTAGCAACTTTCGATCTTTAAAAAATTTAAACATTAAACATTTTATACGCATACTTCTTCGAGCATTTAGAATTAAATTTAATTTATTTTATATATTTTAAAATAATAATTTTGTTAATTAGTTTATACTTTTCTTAACTTAAGGACCACAATCACATACTTCAAATAATTGAAGATTAAATGTGTATTATAATCAAATAACACAGAGACCGACCGTTATTTTCCCAAATTGAAATGTTTTAATTTCAGTTCAAATATATTTAATTGAACTTAATTTATCTTAAAAAGTCAATTAAATTAATTTTCGAAAAGTAAAATGTGATTAAATATTTTAAAACGAAACGAGTAATAAATACTTGTACATGCACATTTGCACAAAATATAAAGACGAGTCATTTAATCAGTCACCATCTCTACAGCCCCTTTGGTAAATGCTTTGGACTTGACTATTCAGGTTATAATTTTGATCCACAAATTTTTCTTACATTTATGTCATTTTTTGTCTTTATATACATACAAAAAAAAAAAGTATGATTGAAGTGTTTTATATATATTGTAAAGAAAATGTGAGATTGGAGTTGGAGTGTATTGAAAGAAAAAAAAAGAAAGATATTTTATTTGTCTCAGTTTTTAAATTTTAAAATTTTAAAAACATTATTTTTAACTATTATGATTTTTAATTTTTTTTTTTGGAGTTTATAACTTATAACTTGCATTTCAAAAAAGTTGATAATCACATGCATAAAAATCTTGTCAAATTTAAATTGTTTTATTTTTGAAAGATGAAAAATGCACATAAATTGAAATAAAGAAAGTACAAACTCTGTATAATTTTAAAAAGTTATTCAAATCGATCGAAAAGCGATAAATATTACATAAATTAAAATAGAGGAAGTAAGAGAAAAACAAAATAAATGAATTGTGAATTATCAAAACCGGTGAATTATACACTGATTAAATTAAAATAGAATTAAAAAACAAAAATTTTAAACAGACACATTATAAAACAGGTGTACGTTTTACACTAAGGACAACCTTAAATTAAAACTATTTATTTTTCACATGGAAAAATTATGACTCTGTTTGGTATGATGGAAAATGTTCCTGAAAAATATTTTTCTGGAAAATAAGTAAATTTTAGATTTATTTTTTTTCATGTTTGATTGGTAAGTAGAAAATATTTTTCGAAAATAATTTTTAGTATTTAATTTATAAATGAAAAATATTTTTTAAAAAAATCTTTTATTTTTACTAGAGAAAAAATTAATTTATTTTCCTTCGTACCAAACACACTCCTAATTTTTGTTTTTTTTCGTACGACTACCAAGTTAATGCAATAAGATTTTATTTTCACTTCACATAATTATTGGACCCTATGGTTCATGTCTTTGAGATAATGTGTTGTTCAACTGACACAGTAAATATTAGTTAAAGTTTTAGATAGAGATGGTAATGGAGTGATGCAGTTTGGTACATTGTGAAGGGGTTGAATTTTGGTAATGGAGTGATGCTGTCTGGTAGGGGGTTGAATTTAATTTGTAAAAATTTTAATTCGTCCGGTATAATTTTAAAAATTTAAATTAAATTTAAAATTACATATATTCGTAATCGTCCATCCGCATTAGTTTTTTAAAAAACTCACTTTAGTCCGTCCCACATGCCCAACACAATCTTAAACTCGTACCCATAGATGTGTATTTTAAAAATTACAGTATTACATTTTTATATAAATTTAATTTAATTTAATTTTAATTAAATTTCAAAAAATAAATTTTGAAAAGTATTTTTTAGTTTGAGTAATAAATTCTTATATGTACAGAAATTAAAATATAATGATAATTCATTTAGCTACCATCTATACGGCCATTTTGGATAAATGCTTTGGATAGATTCTTTAAATTATAATTTTGTACCATCATATAGGGAAAGGCATAAATACTCCATTAAACTAATCTCTAATTTTAATTACACATTTGAATTTTCATTTTATGTATTTTTACTCCCTTGAACGATTTTGGAATAAATTATTTACGCCCTAAAAGTTTAGGTGACAGATAATGTGTGTATTTTAGTCAAAATAAATTTAATTTTTTCAATAACGTTTCATCATATCAATTTTTCTTCAATATCGATAGAATTTAATTAAAAATAACAATAAAAATTAAAACATGATATTACACATATATGCTATCGTCAGACTTTAACAGAGATTTTTAAAATTTTATTATGTGTCACTACTTCAAAAGGTGGTGAATAAAGAAATAAGAAAAACATGAACTATTAAAATTAAGTATTCGATAAGAGAAATTAAAATCATACAAAAAGATATATACCTAGTATATTATTATAACTTGTTTCTCAAAATTGTTTGAAATATCTTATAGCTTACGACTCAAGATATTACGCTATCTAACTTTGAATATACAAAAGTAGTACAAAGCTTTATCAGTAATAAAATACACATACATCCAACTTAACATATACAAATCACTTCGAGTGTATCTCATATGAAATTGTTACGTAAGTTATCATGAAAGACATAAATATAAGTCCAACTTTATATAAATCTTAAATGGATACTTATACACGCCTATAATTAGAAATTAAAATTAGAGATTAAAACTATCCGTTAAAGTTAAATAAAAAAAAACACATTTATATAATATTAAATGGAGATTGATATGATACTATTAAATTGCATTAATTTTTAGACCTCCCCTTATAAATTACCTGACCCTTTTATACGATCATAAGGTCAATTTCATCAGTATTATTGCATTAGCAATAATTGTTTAACCCCCTGGCCATAAGTTTTATTTACAAATAGTTGTCAAACTCATCATCAATAAAAGATGTGACTCAGATATGTTTTTCAATATTCTTAAAACGATTGGAAGAATCCAACGTAATCTCAGCTAACTTCTTTAAAGGCAATAACTCAAAACATATCCAATCGGTACGTATCTCTATCGCCATATCATGCATTTACGCGAATTTATATTTTATAGAGTGTATATAATATTGTTGTATTTTTTTTAAACAAAAAGTACTTAAGAGGTGTGAACTCAATTTCACGGTTAAAGTATAGTATAATAAGATGATGATTAAATGTATCTTTCTAAGTTAGGATAGAAATTTAAATCTTATAACTTTTTTTAAGTAACATCTCTCCAAGTGGTTATCGGTACATTTTTTTGACATTTCAATTAATTTTTTCTTTTTGCTTTAATATTTCAAAAACTTTTGAGTGTGATTGGAAATTTCTAAATAAAAATTAACGCTTTAATTTTTTATATAATTAAATTATATGTATATATTAAAATTTAAAGCGATAAGTGTTAAAAACAGTACACTTAAATTATTCTCTTTTTTTCTTTTAGTTTCTTATCTAAATTATCACTTATTAGTTTGAAAAAAGTATCCAATAATATATCTAATATATTCTCTCTTTTATTTATAAAAATCTTGTCATACGTTATTACACATTGATAATATACTTTACCTTGACAAACTATAAAAAGATTACTAAAAAAATAAATTCTTTTTTAGAAAAAAAAAGAAGTAATTCTACCCTACCCCATAACCCTCTGCTCTTATTTTTTTTTTAACTTATTTACTTTTTTTCTCGTTTTGTGTTATGTATATTTTTAGAAAAGTATTTTTTTCCTACTTAATTATCGAATGTAAGAGAAATAAAAATTTTCTTTTAAGAGAAGTCTAGCGACAAGTAATATATATATATATATATATAACACAAAATTAAAAAAATAGAAATAAAAGGTTATGTGGGGTGAGGTATAATTTTTTAAATATATATCTGTTATAAATTCATTGAATGAGTGGATAGTCCATAAGGTTGGTACATGAACCTTTTTGAATAAGAATGTATCTATTTATTATGATACTTAATATGGTGACCTTTGGAGTGATTTCTCACTTTATAAATAGGGTTGTTCATTCACTATTGTAATATAGATACAGGTGAGACTTACATACACTTGAATAAGAAGAAAATTCCTCTTCTACTATCTACTTCTCTTGTCTTCTTCTCTTTATGATTATATTCTTATGAGCTTGATTTTATAACACGTTATCAGCACGAGTCTCTAACCAATTGAGATTGAGTTTTAGTTTTACTTTAGCTCATATTTCGGTTGATCTCGTTATGAAGATCAAAGTATTGTATGCATAAAATCAAGTATGTATTTTCTAAAATATTTTATGATTTAGAATAAAATAGTGTTCAGTCACTAACAATTATCACGAACCGAAGACATATACTACTATTGGTTGAATATGACATGCTATACAAAATTTCTTAAATAGAAAAAGGTATAAAATTTTAATAGCATGAATTTGAATGTTATTTTGATTGTTTTGAAAGACTCAAAGGATGAGTCATGTTGTACTTCGATTTATTATACCGTTGGTTAAGGGTAAGACATCAGGTAAAAGTCCGGATGCATCATAATAAAAATATTTGAGGATAAGACGATAGATTCAAGTTCTATCGCACCAAAAGGGTAAGACATCAATTTGAGATTTGATGCACCGTGATTGGGTTCAAGTCCCATAGAATTATGGCGTAAAACGCCTTATATGGATAAGACATTGAGTTTGAGTCAATGCACCATAATGATGATATAATGATGACTAGGCTTTGATGAAAAGTCTTGAAATTCGTTCTATTGAATTTGCTTCATTCCTTGAAAAGAATGTGGTAGCAACATGTAATAACTCTGAAATCCGCCTGTTAACTTGCTCCATTCAATCATATGAATGTGGTAGCAGTGAATGTTAGTCTGAAAGATGACAAATGATTAATGATCTGAATAAGGGCGTGGAGGGACATAATTATAATAGTCATCATTGTGGTAATGATAAAAGGAAGAACACTATAAGTTCTTCAAATAGTCCTTCAAAATGTGAAGGCAATTTAAATAAATATGTGAACTTAAAGTTCAAGGGATAATTCAGCTGCATAATGTTGCAAATCAGTTGCCAGATGAATACACTGACCCTATGATATAATTCAGCTGCAAATGCTCCAATGTGAAGTCCTCGAAGGACAGAGTCTATGATACGCCGGAAGCGTAATAGACCAATCGATTCCAACTATAAAATTCCTTGAAGAAGGAAGGAGCAAATGATCAACATGGTCATGATAATGAGGCAAGTGCTATAAAAGAGCACATTGACATAACAATTCATAAAATCTTGAAAAAGGTTCAGGTACCTGAAATAATAAAAAATGAAGAGATCTCGATAAGTTATGTCTTGTTGGAATCGATATCAAATAACCGTCGACGGTATCTTTGATATGAGGTAGCGCTCAATGATATAAATTGTGATGAGGATCTTGAATTCAAATCTGTCATATAGTGTGAACAGATAAATGGTTGGCCAAGTAAAATGCACAATTCAAGTATATTTTGTTTCACTTAGAAAAGTGACATTTTGGACTGGTAGTCCATAAATCAAGGTATAATGTCAGTGGGGTACAAATAAATTATTATGCGATAGTATAACCGTAAGATATCAAATACGGTTTGTGCCTTGGGGCATAAAGGTTTATCGCAAAAATCCTGACATTATTGGAGATGTTTTCTCCTTTGGTGGATGCAGTGAGGCTTGTTTTGATCTGGCAACATATGAAAAACTTGAATGCATGTAATGAAAAATTGTAATGAAGGTTATATGAAAATCCTTGAAACAATCCAGGTGTCTGAAGCATATAAAGGTTTGAAAGAAACTTATCCAATAAAGCTTCAAGAATCCTTATATGGATTGAAATAGTCAATGAAGAAAAAGGGTACAAAAGAATGACTCTAATTGTCCTTGTATTTTTATGAAAAGGTCTTGGTAAGACAAAATTTTGTCTTGACCTACAGATTGATAATTTGACAAATGAAATATTTGTCTAACAGTGCACATACATTGAAAAGTTTTGATGCAATTTTATATGGATAAATCGCATTCATTGAGTACTCCAATGATTATGAGATCACTTGAAAAAAAATGATGATTCAGTTTGATCTCTAAAGAAGGATGAAGAGTTTCTTGGTGATGAAACTCTATCTTGGTGCAATCAGGGTACTAGTGCATCTTACTAACAATATTTGACCAGATATTTGTTTTGCAGTAAATTTACTGGCAAGATTCATTTTCTCCCCGATAAAAGGACATTGAAATGGTGTTGAGCACATGATTGAATATCCTCGAAGGACCATAGTTATGGGTTTATTCTATCCCGAGGAATCCAAGACAAAATTGATTGATTACGCAGATGCATAATATTTATCTGATCCGCATAAAGCTCTATCTCAAGCACGCTATGTGTTTGCATGTGGAGGCACAATAATATCCTGGGGATCAATGAAGCAAATGTTGCTCTGCAAAAATAAAAGTCCTCCATGAAGCAAGTCAAAAGTGCGTCTGGTTGAGATAAATGACACACCATATTCAAGAAATGTGTGGTTTTTCTTTTAAAAAGGAATATACCAACCACAATGTACGAAGATTAGAGACATCATCACAAGAAATTAAGTGATGTTTTAATCAGGGGGAGTACAATACGCGTTGCACTCTTTTTCCCTTGATCGAGGTTTTTTCCCACTGGGTTTTCCTGGCAAGGTTTTTAATGAGGCAACAAATGGTGCGTATCAAAAGATATGTGTACTCTTTTTCCTTCACTAGAATTTTTTCCCACAGGGTTTTTCCTAGTAGGGTTTTAACGAGGCACATTATCTATGGACATCCAAGGGGGAGTGTTATAAATTCATTGAATGAGTGGATAGTCCATAAGGTTGGTGCATGAACAACCATTCATATTCACTAGGTTACATGAACCTTTTTGGATAAGAATGTATCTATTTATTATGATACTTAATATGGTGACCTTTGGAGTGATTTCTCACTCTATAAATAGGGTTGTTCATTCACTATTGTAATATAAATATAGGTGAGACTTACATACACTTGAATAAGAAGAAAATTTCTCTTCTACTATCTACTTCTCTTATCTTCTTCTCTTTATGATTATATTCTTTTGAGCTTGATTTTATAACAATATCTAAATTATTATTCGAAGGGATTTGCCTGGGGGTGGGGGATGAGAAGTTAGATTTTTTAAGAAAAAGAATATAAAAGGTTTTTCTTTTAGAAAAAAAAACTAAAAAATTTGGATGGGGTGAGTATGGTGAGAGAAAATAGTTGTGAGGTAAGAAAAAATATTTTATATTTTTATTTTATAATGTTTTAAGGGAGGGATAGTAGTACTTTAGTCTTTAACTTTAAATAACATTAATGATTAATTTAATTTTTTATCAAGGTGCAAGTTTTATTTATGTGACATGTGGATGTGACAATTTTTTTAAATAACAAAGAGAGTGTATTATACATACCATGAAGAGCGTATGATAAAAGAGAAAAATGTATTTTTCAAATTGATAAGTAATAATTCAAATATAAAAATCACACTTTTACTAGTTTAGATATAAAATTAAAAACAAGAGAGATGATTTAAATGTGTTTTTTTTTATCAAATTTAAAACTAGTTGTATTATATATTTTGAAACTATAACTTCTAAAATTCAACAGTTCATTGTTGAACTTAAAGGTCAAAATGGGCAAATTTATATCTTAAATATATTTTTTCATGATTATACATCCATCTTATTCTTCTCTTTGCCCCGCTTCTTTCTCTGCCTCTCGCTCGCCTATCACCTTATGTATTTGTATTATAAAATCTATTTAAATTTTTACAAACTTATGTATCTCTGTATTCAGTACCAATTTTATTCCATGTATCTAATGTCAATTTCATTAATGTATTTGGTATAAAAATATTTAGTATATTTGGATTGCAGCGATGCTATTCTGATGATGATGTTGTTCGAATCCAACCAAAGATAATGTGCGAGATAGAGGTATTAATTGACTTTATACGATGAATCAACCTCTCTCGCAAAAAAAAGTGGAGGAAAAAAGAAATAAGGGAGATAAGAAGGTGGAGAGAAGTGCTGGGGGCGGGGAGGGGGTGAAAGAGAATGATAGATTGAGTATACTATATTATTATTGTTAATGAGAAAGACATTGTACTCAACAATAATATAATCAATTTTGATCACATATCATCAATACTTAGATATGACTATATTCCTTTTTAAAACACTTAACTTTGAAATTATGATAAAGAACTTGATATGAAATTATTTCGTCGATAGAAAACAAAGACTAGTATCACTATTCGTGACATTAAAAAATAAGATCCTTTAATTAGAGAACATAAATACAAGCAAATATGAAAATATCAGTTTTGCTAACAATAAGCATTTTCTAAATAGTATACATGATTAATATATTCCTACCTAGAATTGAACAAGCACAAAGTCAAGCCAATGCGATAGACGTTTACGACTTATCTCACATAATATAGTTTGGATAAAACTTGAAATCATGACAATTCAATATAACTTGTAAGTTCTATCGATTTATCATGACTTGCACAACCTAAAGGTGCTATATTTCAAAACATTTTTATTAAACTTAAAAGGGTCATTTATGCACAAATGTCTACTTTAATTGAAGCTGTTAAAGCCCAAATTGTCCTCCTCAGTCCATATTCCTAAAAAGCCCATATTTTATCGGCCCATTCCCAATCTAAAACCCTAGAAGCTCTATACATATATACAACAGGCTCTATATTTATCTTACGCTAGGGTTTCAGTTGCTCTCTCTTTTCACAAGCAATTACAGCGAGAGCAGAAGAAGAAAATGCCGGCCGGTCATGGTTTGAGGTCTCGAACGAGAGATTCATTCTCTCGCGCCTTCAGGAAGAAGGGTACCATCGCACTTTCGACCTACTTGAGGATTTTCAAAATCGGAGATTATGTTGATATCAAGGTGAATGGTGCTATTCACAAGGGAATGCCTCACAAGTTCTACCATGGACGTACTGGTCGTGTTTGGAATGTTACCAAACGCGCCGTTGGTGTTGAAGTCAACAAGCAGGTCCTTCCTCTCTCTATCTTTCACTTTCACACACAATTAAACTTTATTTTTGAGCATTTTTTGTATGATTATATCATGAATAGAAGCTATTACTTTGTTTGTTTTGATTTTGTTGATTCGATTTATTAGGTTTAGATAGTTGTAATTAGTTTAGGCGTAGAGATCTAGCATTTGTTTACCTTGCCTTGTCGTGAATGTATGCTTATACTAGTAACTGATTGGTTTTGTTTATTTAATTCATTAAATTATGATGTTATGATTGCTAGTTTCTGTAGAAAGATATGGTATCTCCTGATTTTGGCTTTGCTCGTTCATTGTGGTTAATATTTGTTCTAACTTTTTGCTAGTATTGGCGGATTAGTTCCATATTGTGAGTGTCTGCTTTAGTTTTGTTTATTTGATTTACAGGTCGAGACATTTAGTGCTTGTTTCTGATGAGATATATGGTATCTTTTCATTTTGCCCTTGCTTGTTGTTCCTTGTCTGTTTAGTATATGCTGATTGAATTTGTAGTTTTAGATAGAGATGTATTTTATCTTCTTTGTTCGTTTTACTTGTGTGTTTAGTATTTACTGATTGGATTTGTATGTTTAGATGGTTATAGATAGACTTCATGTAGTATTTGCTGATGGAATTTGTATGCTTAGATAGTTGTAGATGGTTCACGTAAAGAGTTCTGCGGTACTCTCATTTTGCCATTGTCCATTCATGTTATTGAAACTATTTTTTTAAAGCAACTTTTAAGTCAATCCGTTTGCATGCATATATGTCATTTTTGGTTTGCAGTGTTAGAGAGGAATTTATACATGGGGATTCATAGAAAATACTCTAACTGTGACATGTAGGTTCTAACCTATGGCTTGAAGCAATGCTTGAATCCCCTTTGTCATGACACTAGAACCTTTCCTTATGGAGTAGTTAGAGTTCTGTAGTGTAAGTTTCTATGATTAAGTTAAATTTAGCTTAATGGACCTTATTGAGAACGTATATTGGTTTAACATAAGCCTCATTGTATTTTTGATCATCAATTTGATGTCATTTGGAAGTTGGGGGACAAAAATTTCTAAACAAGTTTTTATTTTATTGTATCATTCAATATTTATATGAATTGTGTTTTACACTACTTCCTGCATCGACCAGATTAAAGACATTGAATTCATGTTTATTGGGCTTTCTCTTATTCTTTTCTTACTCTTCGTATGATATCTGACACATTCTTATAATTAAAAAATGGTGGTGTGTTTTGTTAGTTCTTCAAAACACTGCTGTTGTTCCCCTTAAATTTGTGCAATAGTAGGATACTGATTGAATTATGAAAGACATTCTAATCCATATCGGAGTTCTAGTTGTTTTTTCACATCCTTGATGTGAAAGTATGTTGTTGAAATGTTTGTGCTGTATGTCAATCTGACTCTTTAATGTTCTGTTTATCAGGTTCGTAACAAGATCTTAAGAAAGAGGATCCATGTGAGGATTGAGCATGTCCAGCAATCTCGATGCACCGAAGAAGTCAGGGAAAGGATCAAGAAGAATGACCAACTTAAGGCTGACGCCAAGGCTAGAGGAGAAGTCATCAGCACAAAAAGGCAACCACTAGGACCCAAACCAGGGTTCATGGTTGAAGGTGCTACTCTGGAGACAGTTACCCCCATACCATATGATGTGGTTAATGATTTGAAGGGAGGATATTGATCTTAATCTGTTTCTGAGAGGTTGTTTTTTCTATTTGGTTTTTCTGAAATTGAAAGACAGAATTAGTTTTGTTGGTGTCAACTCCAGACATTGCTTGTTAGTTAAATTTTGTTTACATTGCCATTAGAGGCCTTTTGTTGAACTTTTACTACAAAGGTGAATTCAAGTATGTCTATCTATTACCTAAATTCCCTGCATTTTAAGATAATTTTCTTGATACGATTGTCTTCTTGTGCAATTTGATTATGCGTATTTATTGGAAATATCTGCTATTTTAGTAATTGGTCTAGTTGCATGTGAAATGACTTGAGAATCATGAGATGTTTTATTTGAACATTGATGGATAGAGTTTACCCATAAGTTACATTTAGTAAGCCCTCAAATGAGCAATATAAATTGTTGGGCTTTTATTAGTTATACCTACAGTAATCAAGTAATGTTATACTATATGTATTCAATTTGCTGTATCTTATATATATTTGGATTTGTTGAAATATTTGATTATTATTGTATGATACTGCAAAATCTGAAAGAAAAATCAGCGATCTGTTTGGTTTGATATTTTTCCATCATCAATATAGTGAAAAGCACGTCTAAAATAGCTAATCCCGGACAACTTATTTTGTGTCCAACCATACTTGTCCAGTTGTCCCTGTTAGCATTTACAATATTGAGATAGAATCATGAAATGTAAATGTTGGTAAATATTAATATGAAATTATTAGTCAAACCATAGTTGATGCAAAAAGTCGATGGATTTAATTGAACCTGTCCTTACAATGCTAGATTTAGCAACGTCCATTACATTTCTTGGTGGTTCATTAAACATTTGCAGTACGATTTCAATGTGTTTCGGAGATTCTACCCTACAATGACCTAATCGAGTTAAAAATGTTTTGCACGATATATTACATATTGAATGTGTCTGTCATTCAACGTGTTTTTTGGGGAAGAGAAAATGAGGGAGAGGATAACAAAGTGAAGAATTGAATCCTCACTATAATAAGATGAAAGTTTAGATAATCAATGTTGGTGAACGTAAACTAGATTGTTTTAATTTTCCAATATGTTTTTCAGTTACGAGTATTCCAAACGTTCCATGTGAAAAAAGGCACTAGGAGTTTGTCTTTTTGATTACCGTAGGCATGTTATCCATATGTCATACATGCCAAAATTTAGTCTTGGCTACATTTTCTAACTTGTATTTTGGCCTCCTTTGTTTTATTTATGAGGTATGTATTTGACAGATATATATATATCGGCACGCTAACTAGTTTGGTTTTACGTTGGTAGGGTCCATTTAAAGAAGAAGTGTTTAATATTGATTTGTTTTCCTATTCAATACAATTTTGTTCTTCCATTACAACTTTCTATGAACATATATTTTGGTTCAACAAAAAGCTCCAACAACATTTTTTTAAAATCAACTAGATCATCCACATCTATAAACAATAAATTAAATAATAATAATCTAATGACTATGCTAACAATTAGTAATAACGATTGATAATTGTCGATTTCGAATGCTTATTTGATTTATCGAGGTATGAATAAAATGAAGATTCAAGTTTAGCACTTCCATTAACATGAGTAAAATGAGGTAAATAATACTCAAATATTGGTAAAGCTATAGCTTTTATAATAATTACGCCTAATAATTAATATGGTATAACAAAGTGGAAAATTCATGTATTCGAGCGTTCATACAAAAATAAACAAGTTAATTTAATTTTCAATCATTTAATGAATCAAACAAATGGATTAATTCAAATAATTTGATTCATTAAAAAAAATTATTCAAACAATTATAATATTAATAAAATCTCTCGACACATATATTTTTAATAAATTTATTTATTTGTTGTTATGATCACTCACAATACATGTATACTAATGAGACTAATTATAATTTAACTTTAATTCGAGTAATTTGGTGGATTTCAAATATTATTTGACATGTCATATTGGAATATTATCAAAATTTAATTCGAGTAATTTTTAATTTAATAATTTTATTATTATATATATATTGGAAATTAGCATGTCCGGACGACTCTCTTCAGCTCCGCTACGACCATCTTTCTTCTCTCTAAAACCCTAAATCGATTCATTTCTGTTCCTAAAATTTTCTTTTTTTCTTTGATCTGTCGCTTTTTCCTCCCAAATCTTTCAACTTAGCATTTGATTCCATTAGATCTCTCTCAATTTTTCTCTGAATTGGGTATTTTGTTTTTTCATTTTTAGGGCTTTTCTGCGATTTTCTGTTTAATTAATTGACGGTGGAGAAGCAGAAGGTAAGGCTGGCGATTGGTGTAGAGTTCAGGTTATGGCGGATCCGCCATATGTCCGCCTACGACAACGATTTTTTCTGAATTATTTTTGCTTAGTATTTGTTGGTTGTGTTTGTGGAGTAGTGTTGAGAAGAGAGTGGAAAGCTTTTTGTGAACTTCGAGAATGCTGAGTGTGTTACGAGTGCATCTCCCCTCCGATATACCGATCGTAGGCTGTGAACTCACGCCTTATGTCCTCTTACGACGGCCGAACAAGGACAAGTCTGTTATTTCTGAGGATGTTTCAGAGTCTGCACCGATTGATGGATATTTCTTGAGATACAAGTGGTCAGTTGGTTTATTTTTAGCTTTTTTCGGTGTATTTTGCTATATTTTTTGCTTTGTGATTTGATTCTAATGCGTTTGTTTGGGGAAAAAATGTAACTTTATGGTGTTTCTAATTTACAAAACATTTTGTGGAAGTGTACTGTTTAGTCTGTTGAAGTCTTGAGGATTTGTAATCAAGCAAGTAAATAGGCAAACAGGATCAAAAAGACTCTGTCTTTCTTGGTAAGAATTGATCTAAATAGATGATGTATTGGAATAGCTGCACTGTTCTGTGTTCTCCTAAAAAATTTTTGGTGAGGATTTTTCATGCTCCGTATGTGAAAGCAAAAAGGGGCAATTTTTGTCTGATTCGTTCTTTTTTTTTGTATGGAAAGTCATATATTGTGCAGATGGAACTTTCTGGTAGCTCAGATGGGTAGCTCGATGTTACTGATGGGCAGTTTTAATTCCTCACTTTATGAGGACATTTAGTAGATGGTAGATATATGATCCTGTTTGGAATGATACTATGAGGCACTTTGTTAGGCATTTGCTAACATATGTGGGTTTCACTGTTGCATAATTGTACTATTTTAATAGTGGCGGGTCTCAGTGACAGATGTGTGAATTTAGGTTGAATCTTTAGGATTTGTTGCCAAAGAAAAAGAAATATATTAACTTGGTTGATGTTTGCGTTTCACTTGCTTGGAGTGGCTTGAATACTCACATTTTATTGTTTGAGCCAGCAGATGGGAAGCTTCTTTTTTTCGTGGTGTGTGTTGTGGTGGTAGTGGTGGTGGTAGTGGGGGTTAAGTGAATGAACTGAAAGTTGTGTTCTTTTGGCAAAAGAAACATGTCCGTTGAGGTTTTCCGATCTTTACAGTGGCTGCTGTCTTTAAAGAAATAGGATTAGAATGGCTTTGAGTTTAAAAACCTGCTGTCATTAGTTTACTCTGAAAGTGCAGTTTGGATTTGATTCTGTCCTAGTATCTGATAAAAGTTCTGTGATAAATATTATCAAAGTCTAAGCTCTGTATGAGTGTAGAAGGTGCAATTTGCTTCTTGGAGCCGTATGAGGTGAAAATCTCACGTACGATTTTGGAACGGAGATTCATTTCAATTGAATGACGACCATAACGGATGTCGGCTCAATTCGAAGGAAATTACGCGGAAGCTTTGCAGAATCATCATGAAGCCATGCGACTAGAAATTGATCCCTATGATCGAAGTTATATACTCTATAATATAGGGCATATCCAAACAAGTAATGGAGAACATACGAAAGCTTTGAAATATTATTTTCGAGCACTAGAATGAACAAGCTAGGGAGGATAGGTAGTTGTATAAGAATTGTACTGGTGCTATATTTTGGTACAATGTTTGTTTGCAAATGTGTAAGGTAGGGTTTATAAGAATTGTACTGGTACTATATTTTAGTGCAATATTTGGTTGCAAATTTAAGTCTGGTTTATTAGTTATACACTCTATTCGGTACTGTTATTGTACATAGAAAGCCATGGTATTAATAATATGGGGTACTATTCCTATTCTACTACACCTATCCTGATTCAGTACCATTCCTATTTTAATACACCCTATTCATTTAATACAATAAACCAAACAACTGATAAGAATAATCTCAGCATAATGAATCCCAACATTAATAATACACCTGAGTCAGTTTATTCTCATCCATTCTACCAAACGACCCCTTTTGGATGAGATACTATTGTTACTTGAGAAAATTATCAATATTTGGGATCAATTTTCCCAAAACTGGAAATATTGATGATTTATTGCGATCATCTCATTGATGAAATATCTACCTGTCTGGTTGTCTTATTTGTTTTTTTAGTTAAGATAACTTTGTATTCACAAAAAACTCATCAACAAAAGATGACGAGGAACATTTTACAATTTACACGTGGTGTGTGCATTTACCTCAGCAAGGACGACTCAAAAAACTTAACAAGTTTCCTATGAAGTCAACTATGTGTACGGTATCCCCTACCGTATCCTGTTTATACCAAAAATAAAGTAAACTAAGGCGTTGGATTCTAATCTTTTGGCTCTTGATCCCCTTGCCTTCAAAACATCTTGAGTTTCTCTCCTTCCACAATGTCCACTAGACATAAGCTGGGATGGATGGATGGATCTCCACCAATTTCACTGGCTTCTCCACTGCCAATACCTTTCCAGCAGTTGGGTAACTCCATAGAAGATTTAGGCACTACCGAACTAACTCCTACGATATAGAAGAACATATTCCACATAGCTGCTTTGGCAATGAAGAAATAGATTGTTATCAACCTCTACTTCTGGATTGCATGAATACACCTTGAGAAAATCAAGTAAACCTCTTCCTTGTAACACTCCATGTGTAAGCTGTGCTGGTCTTACCACCAACCAACTAAAACAAGCTACTTTTAATGGGATTTTACCCTCCAAATTAACTCCCAGGTCCTTACTTCTATGTTGACTTGGCTATTGTTCCTTCTCCAGTAGCAAGACGTAACTCTGAAAACTCCTTCATCTTATGTGTTGTGATGTTATCTTGTTGCGCTGGTTCTTTCGAATTTTGGCGGAGAGAAACATAATTTGTAAGCCAGGCATAATGTGGTT